AGACCTCTTCCCTGTGCCCACGTATTCCTAAGTTTTTATTAAGGTGGTTTGTTTTAAGAAAAGTATTTTTAGACTCCCTTCTCCATCATTTTACGTATATGAATACATTGGAGTTCCCCAATACTTTCAGATAACATCAAACGGCACTCACCTGCATAGTACAAATAGCAGAGAAACCATAGGTGTGTCTGAAACTGGTTAATTCCACTTGCTAGCTACAAATGGCTTACTGTGAGGATGAATGTTTTTTTCCCCTTTTCGGAGGAGAGTTTGGATGCTTTCAACACAATAACTGTGCGTGGGCGACGCCTTGTGGCATCTTGTGATCTGGCGTCATCCTCATCTTTATTCCTTTGTTTATAACATGTCTTTGTCATCTGGGTGTTTAAATTCTTTTTTCTCTTCATCATTGGTTTTGAGCAATTTGATTATATTGTGCCTTGATAGTTTTCTTCATATTCCTGTGCTTGGGATTCATTGAGGTTTATAGTTGTTATCAAATTTGGAAAATTTTCAGCCTTCACTTTCTCAACTATTTTTTTCTGGCCCATCGTGTTTTTCCTTCTTTTGGGGACACTAATTAAATGTATATCATCAGGTCACATGAGGTTGCCCCACAATTGCCATTGGTGCTGTTCATTTATTCTCTTTTCTCTTCACGTTTTATTTGGGATAGTTCTTATTGCTATGTCTTCAATCCTTTCTTTAGCAATGTCCAATCTGCTAATACCATCCACTGAATTTTTCTCAAATCAGACATCGTAATTTTTATTCTTAGAAGTTATATTTGGGTCTCTTTAGTTAAGCTCTGTGTCTGCATTTAACTCCTCATTATGCTTCATTCTTTATATTCCTGACAATTCTAGGAGTGCCTGGGTGGCTCAGTTGTTAAAATGTCTGACTTTGGTTCAGGTTATGATCTCGTGGTTCATGAGTTTGAGCCTGCGTTGGGCTCTGTGCTGACAGCTCAGAGCCTGGAGCCTGCTTCAGATTCTGTGTCTCCCTCACTCTCTGCCCCTCCCCCCATCTCAAAAATAAATCAACATTAAAAAATTAAATTTATATTCCTGACAACTCTAGATTAGATACCAAACATTGTGAATTTTACCTTGATGAGTGTTGGATATTTTGTATTCTTGTAAATATTTGTTTTTTGAGACAGAGAGAGACAGAACATGAGTGGGGGAGGGGCAGAGAGAAAGGGAGACACAGAATCTGAAACAGGCTCCAGGCTCTGAGCTGTCAGCACAGAGGCCAACGTGGGGCTCGAACGCGTGAAATGTGAGATCATGACCTGAGCCGAAGTCGGATGCTTAACCAACTGAGCCACCCAGGCGCCCCGTATTCTTGTAAATATTCTTGAGCTTTGCTCTTGGACACAGTGGCCAGGAAACATTTTGATCCTTTCAGATATTTCTTTGATATGTTAGGTGGGGTCTGATCAAAGACGGGTCTGGGGCGAGCTATGACTCACTCCTGAGGCAAGACCCTCCTGCGCACTCTTCTCACTGTTCCATAAACCAAGAGGTTTTCCAGTGTGGCTGCTGGTAACCAACATTACTTTCTGCCCTGCTCAACCATGGGCAGCGTTACCTCTAACCCTTTTGGACAGCTCCTTCTCTGGCCTTGGGTTGTTCCTACACACACACGTGCTGATTAGTTCTCTACTGAACACTTGACGAGGAGCTGCTGCAGGTCCCCAGGTCCTCTATGTATCTCTCTCCCCACCTGTAGTCTGCCCTGGGACCTCTAGTTACCTTGGTCTCCCTGCATTCTGTTTTATCTTCTCAACTCAGGGAGTCCTCCCAGATCTGCTTGGGATCCCCTCCCCCTGCACTGCAGGCTGAAGACTCTCACAGTGATGAGATGGGGCAATTGTAAGGGCTCAGCTCTCTTGGTTTCTTGTCTCTCAGGAGTCACCGAGCTTTGTTGCACAACGTCCAGTTTCTGAGAACTGTTGCTTCACATATTTGCCCATTTCTTGGTTGTTTCAGACATGTCGGCAAGTCCAGTCCATCTTGGTCAGAGTTTCAGAGGTTTTTTTTGGACACATTTCAGTTAGGGATGATGAAAAAACTCTGGAGATGGATAGTGGTGATGGTGGCACAACTATTAAGATGTACTTAATGCCACTGAACTATACACTTAAAAATGGTTAACATGATCAATTTTATGCTATTCATATATTATCACAATAAAGCCATTTTTTAAAGCTACCTTCACCAAAGGAAGTGTTAGTACTGTAATTTGAAGATAAGAACACAGCCCACTGCATGTGGTTCCTGGCACAAGTACCCAGGCACATCCTTGCCTCAGGCATCTACATGACCTTCCCTGTGCCAGGGGACTCTTCCTCCAAGCACGAGGGGCCCACAAATCACCCACCCTTCAGGAAGTCTTCCCAACACCTGTTAGAGACACCCCACAGCTCTCCATGGTAGCACCCCACACACCAGGATAAGAAAGACAAGTTCATCCAATTGTAGGGTGTCTGGTGGCCTTTGACAAGGCACTGACACCTCCATTTTACAGATGGGGAAACTCTGAGTGGATTGGGTGGTGTGAGGAAGCAGAGGCATCTCAATAAGTGATGTGCGTTAGGAGGGCAGGGGGAGGCTCATCTTTAAGTGATGAAGGAGCAGGAGTCGCTGGTATTGGTTGGGAGGGAACATATGTGAGATTCTGTGTGTGGCACAAGGAACTTGTTTTGGTATGTGTTTGGGCACAATTATGACGTTTTGTCTCACTGTATCACAATGTAGCTTCTCTGCAAGATTGTCTATGTCCAACAGGAGAACACATCATTCCTGAGTGCCAGGCCGGCTTCCTGTGTCAGGGACTGCTCTTGTCATTCTCAGTGGTCATACCAGTATCTACTTCACGGAAGTAACCAACGTAAAGTGCTTAGAGTGACACTCTACAGAGATTAATACTGATGGGATATGGATGGTGGAGCTGACATGGAACGAGAATGATCCTGGAGAGCCAAGCAGATGGGTCTTATGACTAGGTAGAAACAGAGGACTGATGTGATCAGACTGTGCTTTAGGAAGACCACTTGGCAGAGTCCAGGGAGGGGTGGTGAGAGAGCTGGCAGGAGGCCAGTTAAGACATTATCTTGGTGAGAGGTGAGACATACAGGGACAAGACAGGCTGGAGTATATGGAAGGTGTGTCCCCTGACAGTGGGGAGAGAAGGTCAAGGGTAGCTGTGGGACCTCTGTAACTTGAAGCCAGGGTCAGGGTTGTGAGGTTGGTGGCAAGCCCTCTCCTCCACAGCAGCGATGCTTGTAGTTGTTATATATATATATCCAGCACATCGACTGCCCAGCACACACACACACACACACACACACACACACACACACACACACACACAAGGCTTTGTTCAAAGGAAGGGTCTGATGTTAAAAGCTCATTTGGAAAACCACATGTGAGGTTGGGATGAAGTGAAAGGAAGAGTGGGAGGAGTTTCACAAAGTTTACTGTGTAGGCCATGCAGGTGGCTCACAAAGGGATATGTGGCATCAAGGTGGCAGAAGAGGACAGGTCTCAGGGTGGCTGGGGGTGGTGAGGGGAGGCAGCATCAAACAAAGTACTGCCAGTGGATCTGAACACAGAGTCACAAGGTCACTTCTGAGATGCAGAACGATCTTGACTGATGTCCAGCAAAGGTATCTCAGGCTATTCTCACATGCAGGGCTTATCAGGCAGCCCTGATAATGTAGAGTCCATGTGCAGGGTCAACAAAATCTAAAGCATGATGCTGTTGAGCACAACTTCCCTGCTCTGAGATCAACTCCACCTTCAGCCCTCAGGGGCTTGGTCTCCTACGTGGTGTCCCCACAGGCCAGCAAAGCTTCAGTTCACTAGGACAACCTGAACTCACCTTAGGACAAACAAAGGAGACATACCCTTACTCTGCTTTCTGTGTGGGACGCACGCACACCCTGGCCCCTCCAGGTCTGCAGGCTCCGCGATGGCACCCTCCTGTCATCCAGCACATCGCTCGCCCAGCATGCTCTACTAGGGGAGCTTCCTCCTCCTTCCTCCGATGCATTTAGGAAGTTCATATCTGCATAATGTTTCCTTTATATGACTCCTATTCATATTATTCAGAAACCGTTCTCTTTGCCTTGTCAGGACCCAAAGAAATTTGACCAGTCTGCCTCTTTGCCCAAACTCCGCCATCATCTAGGAATGAAAACCTTATGATAGTAACTCTCATTTCTTGAGAATCTACTGTGCTGGGTCTTTGTGTCATTTGAGATGTCTTCAGCTGTCTGGTATGGAGACTCCTATGTAAACCAGCTCCACAATAGGAGAATGTATGGGTTCACGGTTCACTTTGTGGGACAGAGCTTATTACACGGGGCCTATTCCAACTCCGTGTTTCTCTGCGGACGCCCAGAAAAAAGGTGAAGGGTTTGCCCAGGTGCAGGCGTAGGAGCTGGCAGCATACTGAAGAGGAGTAGGGGTGGGTGCGCCCGGGGCTTGCTGTGGCCTCCTCTCAGGTGTGGGCCTGACAGGTGGCTCCTGCCCATTTGCGCTTTCCCTCATCTGCAGCCACTGGCCCCTCTCTTGGCACAGCTGGATCCTTCTTGTCCTGCAGACCTTTGCTCCAGTGTCCTTTCCGTGTCCCCCAAGCTAGAGTAGTCACCGCCTCGAGTTACCGTCCATCACACAGTTTTTTCATTTCTTCTTCACCTGTTAGCCCTTCCCTGCTGGATCCCTGCTGGGTGGAGGGAGGGAGTGATAATCCTCACCTGCAGCTGTCCTTTGACCAACCTCTTCCCCAACATCTTCGCAGAGTGCATGGCAGGCCTTACGTCTCTCTCTTGCCTCGCGGTCAGTCTGGAAGTCGTCTGCAGGGACTGCGCCGGGGCCCACCAGAAGCGCCGTTGCCCCTTTAAGCGCCAGGCTGGGGCGCACGCGCATTCGGGCCGTTGCGCGCACAGGCGCAGTAGGGCGGCTGATGTTTACGGCGGCCGAGGTCTGGGCAGCGCAGCGGGGCCGCGGACGGGCGAGGGGCCCCCGAGGAGCTGCTGGTCGCGGCCCAGGCGGCCCGATCTCGCGGGCCGACCGAGCCCGGAGGTAGAGCCGCCGCCGCCGCCGCCGCCCTTGGCCCGGCTTGTGTTGGGCGGCGGCGTCTTCCCCCTTCCCCGCAGCCCCTCCCTCCTCTCTGTCTCCCAGTCCCGAGCGCCTGGACCCCTCCTCCGGGGGGCGTCCCTCTCCGTTCCTGCGTTCTCCTAGCTTCTCCTCGCCTCCCCTCTTCTCCGTCGGTCTTCCCTTCTCGTCCCCCCTCTCCTCCCTCCACCAGCGACTCCTCCTCCCACCAGCGTTCTCCTCCCCCTGGGCGTCTCCCCCTCCCCTCCCCGGGGTCTCCCCTCCCAAATCTCTCCCCCCATACCCTAATCCAACCCCGGCACTTCTCCAAGAACGTCCCTTCATTCTCCTGCTCCGTTGCCCGGGGAGGGGGAGGGGGGGCGGGGGGGTTGTCTCTGGGGCGCCCTGTGGTTCGCCCTCCAGCGTTCCAGGGCTTCCCGGAGGTCACCCAGTGCCCGTTGCTTGCACCTTTGGATTTACTTGACTCTACAGACGTGCATCTAATCTGTTCCTAGTTTATTCAGTCGAAAACGTTTGTAGTTCTAAGGCAAGTCAAGGTTTATGAAGCAAATTCTACCTTGGACCTTTTCAGAAGGTGATAGTCTAGGGGCACCAGGCTGGCTCAGTCAGTTGAGCATGAGTGTAGAGATTACTTAAAATTAAATCTAAAAAAAAAAAAAGGTAAAAGTCTATTACATAGTTGGCCTTTACAAGCCCTGGGGATACTAAGAATTGGCACAGAGCCCTAGGACTTCAGGCATCTGAAAAAGGCCTGTAGCTGGGAAAGGAGAACTTGCTTGGGTTGCCTGAGTTTTGTTTTCTTCCATGGGGTGTGTCTCTCAAATTGATGTCTGCTCAAGTGTTGTACCTCAAAAATGTTACCTAAATCTCTGTCTTTCCCCTTTGGTCTTCACAAACCTGTACTAGTTTTCTTTCCTTTTGGCAGAGGAGTGGCTGAAGTAAACAACTCTGTTTTGGGTGTTGAGTAGACTGTCCTTCAAGAATTAGTGAAGTCAGTTTCCTGTAAACAACTCACAACTTGTGGCTGTGCTTGGGTGAAACAGAGCCTTACAGGTGGAATGAGAGGGGACCTCTGAGGTGATGGGGTCAGTGCTTTGGCCTCTTGGACCCACCTCAGCTTGTACCTAGCCTGGGATGTCCCTGGGGGTGAGAGGCTCTCCAGGTTCTGAGAACAGTGCAGTGCTTTGAATTGTAGTTGTTAGAAAGATTTTCTGTGTGTTTAGTAGAAACGATCTCCATTTGATGTGTTCCACTGCTCCAGCTTTTATCAGGTCCATGAATATTGTATATGAGGCAGCCTTTCAAATATTTGAAGAAAATCCTTTTGTATATCTTCCTTTCAAGAGTTTTAGTTTCCAACATGAGAAATCTGCATTTCATTGTTCTGCCAGCAGGAGGTGTGGTTTTAGGTTTGTTTTCTGATGGTCTCAGCCTGTTAATCACCAATGTGGTTGGACTGGCCCATGTGGTTATTATGATTGTAAGACACCTTTCAGTAATAACCATCAGGAAACTTCAAAAAAAAATAAAGGTTTATTACTTACAGAACTTGGAAATTTTACAGCATACCTGGGGCCACTCAGTGAAATCGGAGGCTGTGAAGAGAGAGCTTGAGGGATCAGAGGCCTGGGGTTCTGCTTTTATTGCGGTCAAGGGTGGGGGCCTAGCGGTTTTCAGGCTTGCTCTTTATTGAGGAATTTAAAGCCTGGGAATAGAGAAGACAAGTGGCCCAAAAGGTCTCTTATCAAAATCAACTAAGACCTGATCCTTAATAAAGGCTACTCCGAGGGGAGGTGTCCTGGCTGTCTCTGGTTGAGTGACAGGAGGCGAAGTGTTTATTCCTCACCAGTCAAAACTTAAGTCCGGTACTTGCATTACAAAAAAGAAAAGCCTCTCAGGACTTACACTACAGGGTCCTTCTCCTCAGCTCATTTTGCATATGCTATTACCTTGTCCATATTTCCCTTAAGAAGGGATATTCAGGTTGGAACACAGCTCTCCATGTGGTGTCTGACAAACCCAGTGTAGACTGAAATCCTGAACCCCCATTGTCACGGCTTGTAGCTGTGTTGACCCAGCTACGGCCTCCTTGGTTGTCAGTCACAAGACCTTCCCATGCTTTCCCTGCTGCTTGAACCATTTTCCTCACTGTCCACAGGCCGTTGGCTTTGGAAGGAGCAATATGAGAGTAAGGGTGTCCTGTTGGCCATTTACCCCAGAGCAATAGATTATATTGAGGATTGCAAAGTATAATCAAGTGCAGCATCCAAAGAATTATTTCCCATTACTTTTAACAATTTGGTTTGACTAGATTGTATATCCAGATTTGGTTTGGCAAGAATATCTTTGAACCTTTGTTGGTATTTTGGGGTGGTGTTATGACCAGTCACATGGGTGGTTAGTAATAAGCAGAGATTGTATCCAGTGTGAGGGATTGTTAGATGTCCAGGCCAAGTTAGTAATATCAGACCCTGTAGATGGTCCCACACATCCTACTGGTGACAACAGATAGAGTTACCCCATAATTTTTAGTCTGTCATGTGGGGCAAAGATTACCAACATGGTTTGTGTTAAAGAATGTTTCTCCCTTGAGAATTTTTAAAAGCTTCATTTGGTGTGGGGTAAAGAACATAGGCCTTTGGCTAGACAGTTCTGAGTTTGAATTCTGGTCTTTTCCTCACACACTGCTTTGTGATCATGAGCAAAGTGACTGCTCAGTCCCAATTTGCCTCATTATGTTGTGAAACTAAAAGGAGCTCCTCTGACTGGCAGGTGATGCCTGTAAAAAGTTGTAGCTCTTTGGGGCACCTGGGTGGCTTAGTCGGTTAAGGGTCCGACTTTCGCTTAGGTCACGATCTCGCGGTTCGTGGGTTCGAGCCCCGCGTCGGGCTCTGTGCTGACTGTCAGCTCAGAGCCTGGAGCCTGTTTCAGTCTGTGACTCCCTCTCTCTCTGACCCTCCCCTGCTCACGCTGTCTCCCTCTCTCTCTCTCTCTTCTAGAAATAAATAAAAAGGAACATTAAAAAATTAAAAAAAAAAAGTTGTAGCTCTTTTAAGTAAAAAGCTAGCTTTTGCATATTTTCAAAGTGAGGAGAAGTTGAAAATAAGGATAGGTTACTTAGTAGAAAATAAAATATACCCAATATATAGTTAGTGTTTGCTTCCTGAAGATAGAATGATGATATTGAGATAGAATGATAGAACATTATATGTGGGGTTGGAGCCACCATGCAGGATATGTGGTTTCCAGGCCTTTTCCTAAATAGACCTTTAAGCAGCAAATGCAACTCCACTTTTAAGCAGTGACCTAAATTTTCAGATGACTGCCCTAGACTAAAGGTGTAGACTGTCACCTCAGCACTAAGTGGCTTATCTAAGATTAAACATGACCTCATTAGCACTTTATCCCTTCAGCTAAGTTAGCTGGCTGTGGACCATAACCTAACAATGGCTCTGAAACAACTTGAAATGGAGTGAAAATCTAGCAATTGGACCATCGTAGTGATTGGGAAAATATGATATTTAGCTCTAAAAACTGGATGAGGAAGATGAACTATTCCAACCGTAAATGGAAGAGCATTTGTACTAAGCCCCATGCTTTACATATTTTGTGTATTTGTTGTGAGAAGCTGACAATTTATTGTGTGGTCTTTTATTTTTATTCTTGGGAAAACCTCTCCCAGTACAATAGCCAGTAGAGTGCATGGGGCATGTAAATGGAATCTCTAGTATTGATGGTTCTCATTCTGCTGTTTGAAATCCAGATGATTGTGAGGGGGGAAAGCAAGGATAAACCTTGTAATAATAAATTATGATATATTATTATGGAAGTTGTCCTGATTCAGAAAATGTGTCAGTTTCTGTGAGGTCTGGTGTTTTCTGTTTTTCCCAACAGTTTTATGTCAGATGTTTTGTAAAACGTTACCATTTTATGTGACGTAAAAAATCATTCTTTTCAAAATAGTTTTATGGAGTAAGTATAAAATTAGAGAAGATATTTTTTATGGTTTGGGAAAAGTAAGACCTATGCAGATGGGAGATTGTTGTCCCTGAATTAGATGGAGGAACATTGTATGTTAGCAGTTGGCTCAGAGGGGATCACACTTTTTTCTTCTCGAAGGCAGTTGGGAAGAAGGTAAGCAATGTACCTTCTATTGTTAGAGGTGGAAAGGTTGCCTGGCATACGCTGCCAAAGGGTTGTAGGGGTTCTAATACTAATGGCGGCTGTAGCTGGTAACACATTTTGTATTTGTTATAATAAAACGTCACCATTCATCCAGTTGAGTAAGAGAGTTTTGTTAGTGGTGTTTTTGCGTGAAATTTGTACATCCAGAAATCCAGATGAACAGATTGAATTGATTGCTTGACTTGATATTTATGTGTATGTGGGGGTGTAGAGTTGTCAGATAAAATATAGGACACCAGTTACATTTTAATTTCAAATAAGAATGAGTAACTGTAGTATTTGTTGTTTACCTTAATTTCATTTTTTTTCTTTGCTTTTAAAGATTCATTTACCAAAGATGATCTATAGTACTTGAAATATTCAAAGAGAAGCTGATATTAGCATGATTTTTTAGACGTATCTGTGTTCTTTTTGTGTTTATATTCAGTGACTTTGTCCTGTGTCCCTGTTAAGGCAGATCTATGTTCAAGATAATTTCCGTCCTAAATACCTGACTTTCTAGATTGACTATTTGTAGTAAAGTATCAAATTCATACTTTAAAGATGTTTTTTCAGTTGTCCAGTGTGTTTTAGGTATCTCAGGTTCATCTGAATTCATCCAATATTGTAAATCACAAAGTTACTTCTGAGTGGATACAATGGATTTTCATATATAACTGTTTTTTTTAACCTTCTGAATTTGGCATCCTTGGGGTGGGGTGGGGTAGGTGGGTACTGACAAAATACATTCCATGTGTATGATTTTCAGAATTCAAAATTGGCGTGTTATTAGAAATTTTACTGTTGTGCTCTTACCTGTTATGTAAATAGCTCTTTAAAAATTTTTTTTAATTGCAGTATTGCCTAAGTGTGAACTTGAAGATGGGAGGTGCTGTGAGTGCTGGTGAAGACAATGATGAGCTCATAGACAATTTGAAAGAAGCACAGTACATCCGGACTGAGCTGGTAGAGCAGGCCTTCCGAGCTATCGATCGTGCAGATTATTATCTTGAAGAATTTAAAGAAAATGCTTATAAGGACTTGGCATGGAAGCATGGAAACATCCACCTCTCAGCTCCGTGCATCTACTCAGAAGTGATGGAAGCCCTGGACCTGCAGCCGGGGCTCTCCTTCTTGAACCTGGGCAGTGGCACTGGCTACCTCAGCTCCATGGTGGGGCTCATTCTAGGTAAATCTGGAGAGAGTGTGGGACCTTGTCTAATTGCACTTGGCTTTCTGAGCACCGCCCCCACCTGTATTGTTTACACACAGTCACTGGGTGGGCTGCTGCAGGTTTCTGGAGGGACCCCCTCCTTTTCCCTCTCCCCTCCCACCTGAACCTCCACAGTCTGTTCAGCACACCCTCCTTGTGGACAACAGAGGACCTAGAGAATTACGGTGGGAACTTACAGTGATTTCTTTAAAAAATTTTTTTAAACATTTATTTATTATTAAGAAACAGAGAGAGAGAGCATGAGCAGGGGAGAGGCAGAGAGGGACTCACAGAATCTGAAGCAGGCTCCAGGCTCTGAGCGCTTAACCGACTGAGCCACTCAGGTGCCCCAGTGATTTCTTGATTAATACAGTCACACAGCCTGCTTTGTCTTTCAGTCTGTAAACTGAGACTAATTAAGTTTAAAGTTCCCTGGAAGTTAAAGTTCTTCCAAGCAGTTTTGGTTTGCTTTGTTTTAATGCTAATAGAGTTCATACCTGTAAGTTTTTCTTTGTAAATAAATTCCAGGGATGGGAAGGATTTCACAAATGATCTTACTTGAAGCCATTTTGCCTCTTTTCCCAAATAAGTTGTGAGACCGCACGTGGGAATTGGCATTTTTGTTATTGAAACAATAGTATTGTCCGGTAATTGAGGGTTTAGGTGTCTGTTTTTACTCTGAGTGAGGTGGAACGAGTAACGGGAGCTAACCTGGTTTAAAAGATTGCTCTAAAGAGGAAGCAGGGCGGGGGCTGCTGCAGCTGTCTGTGTGAGAGAGGGTAAAGCCTGGACCACAGGCTCCAGGTGCCAGACGTCCTGACAAGACCTGCTAAGGAATATCAGGGCTCTGCTGGTGCGCACCCACCTCCTCGTCACACCAGCGTGGGATTGATTCTAAGCGTTGGAGATTTCAGGTGCGAGCCATCGCCAAGTACGCTGCAACATTGTTTCTTTGCAAATGTTACAGAAAATCTTAACTGTAACAGTTGGTTTTCATGGGTATGGAATGAAATTTTTGGTATCTTTTTTCTTAAAAATTTTTTAATGTTTATTTTTGAGAGAAGGAGAGACAGAGAGGGGAACTGAGGATTGGAAGCAGGCTCTGCTCTCAGCATGGAGCCCGATATGGGGCTTGAACTCACAAACTGTGATATCATGACCTAAGCTGAAGTCAGACACTTAACCAACTCAGCCATACAGGCATCCCAAGATTTTTGGTATCTTTATAAGTTTATAGGTTTGGGAATTTGGTGAAGTTTTGAGGCTGGTCATTTGACTTTAGGCTATAGATTGCCATCTTCAATTTTTTTAATGTGTAGGGTTTTTTTTTTTCTTTTTTAAATGTTTGTGTATTTTTGAGAGAGCGCATGAGCAGGGGAGAGGTGAAGCGGGGGAGGAGTGAAGCATGAACTCATGAATTGTGAGATCGTGACCTGAGCAAGTCTGACGTTTAACCGACTGAACCACCCAGGCATCCCTTGTTTTGTTTTTTAAAGCTAAATGCTTTTTGAACTTATTTTGTCACAGATTGAAACTGCTTTGCACAGGACCCCAGGTTATGTATCATTCTGGTATTAGTGAAGGGTAATTCCCTTCAGTGGAGCAGAAAATGGGGGAGCTAAGGACGATATGATATTTGGCAGAGAGGAGGATGGGGTATCACATTGACTAGATTAGAAATGCTATTGAAAATAACTAAGATCCTCAGGAAGAGAGGGCATACAGGAAGCCTGCGGTGTCTGTCCTGTTGCACTTGACATTCCCTAGAAGTCATAAAGAAATGGCTTCTGTTCTCTGAGTCCCCTGTTTGCTGGGAGTGTAATTAGATGTTGGAGTGGGGAGAGATCTGAAGGAGGGGGAGGTTTTTGGGGGGGCTGTAGAGGATACTGTGTACTTCTTGGATGTATTTGAAGGAGGTGACTGGAGAGTTTCCTTTCCTGGACAGACATCTTGGATCTGCAGGGAGGAGGCTGCATGCACTGGACCAGTACCTCTGTCCTGACATCATGTGTCCTGGGCCTCTCCCTCTCCAGTTCATCCAGCCTTTAGCATTGCTTCGAGCACATTGCTCCAGAACTGAAGACCATGTTGGCTTCCCAGTGCTTGGGAAGTCTGGAGGTCTGGAGTCTTTCATCTGACATTTTTGACCTCAGCTGCCTTTCCGCCTGGCCCTGAACTTTATGCCTTTTCTGCTGCATTCCTGTCTCACTGAGCTGAAAGTGCTGTGTGATTGGGGAGTGGAGCGCCCTCATCAGGGGCTTTGTGGTCTGGTTGTAGTGCCATGTGCTCGATGTCTCAGTCCTGACTCTTCCTCCATGTCCCCCCTCTCACCTTAGTCATCTTTTTATTGGGGTGGTTCAGGAGCTATGTGGTAATACTGTATTTGGTGTTAAGCTTCTTGGGAACCATGTCCTATATCTGTTCTTAGAATGAACTACTTAACAGGTGTTGATAAGGGGGCTAATGAAACTATGATGACTGGGAAAGTAGAGAAAGGTTTTCTCGGGTTCTGGTACAATGCTGCTAGCCAGAGAGCAGTGGAGATGGAAGTCAGCGACTTGGCAGAGGGTCTTGAAGTTAGATAATTTGGATTTGATGTTGTAAAGAGTGAAAATGTGACTTCTCAAGTAGGGTGTGTTCTAATGAGAGAATGTTTTAGCAGCAGCGATATGTATGACAGATGTTGAGAGAAGAGAGTCACAAGTGAGTTGTCCAGGTGGAGGAGAGGGAAGCCTTGGCTTTGGGTGGCTGTAGTGCTGTCAGGGGAGCAGGTAAGCCCAGGTGGCAAAATGTAAAGGTATGGGTGTGCAGATGGTTGCTTATTTCCTCATATTTCTGTGGGATTGTGGTGTTAAATGCTTCACTGTGACTTCAGTATATCTGTCTAGTAAATAAGGTTTTACATGCCCTGTTGATTTTCATATGGAGAATTTTAAAAATGGCAGTGTAACTCTACCTATAGTAAATGAACAAGTGTGAGGTGTGGAGCTTGGCGAATTTTCACTGAAGTATTCATGTTTCAGCAAGCACGGGGTTCAGAGTAGAGAGCCCCATGGCTCTCGTGCTGCCCCTCCCCCCAGAAAGGCGAGCACTCTTTTGTCCTCTGTGATCACAAGTGAGCATTGCCTGTTTTTGACCTTCATATAAATGAATTCCCACAACAAAGAGACTCACCTAAGGTGTCTGTGTCAATAGGTTTCACCTAGAGGCAGTTTTATACGGAGGGAACACCTTTATTGTTAAATGGGCTTCCACCTTTTCTCACAGCTTTATCTCCAATTACCGATAAATTTCCTTTGGTATAAAAAAAATATTTCATTGTGACTTGGTTATAGTTTTATTTTAATGATGATCAAAACCTATTTGTGAGGATTATTAAAATGTTCATGTCTGAGTGTTTGGGGCGATCTTTTATGGAAAATAGGGTTGTGTCCAGTTTCATTTGGAAATATATTTTTCTTCTTCATTAGTAAGGTCTTGAATTTCTGGGTGCAGATCTTGGTTGTTGGGGTGTTTTATTTTTGTTTTTTGCTTTTTTTACATTTTCAAATGATTGAGAGCAGGGAGGCCCACGCTTTGGAAAGGTGTGGAGTTAGTAATGTCAAAGAAGCGAGTGTTTACACTGTGGTGAGCGTAGTCTACCCTGCATATTTAAAGATTAGCTGTTTGATGTTTGATTTAGGTCCCAAAATGTGGTAAAACCTCAAAACCTTGCAAATTTCTTCATTTAATTATACTTGCATAATCTGGTGCATTGCAATTGATTAAATAGAAATAAAGAGTAAGAGTTTTTGCCCTAGTTCTAAAAGTTTTCTTTTTCTGAAACCTTTTAGGTCCTTTTGGTGTGAACCATGGGGTTGAACTCCATTCAGATGTAATAGAATATGCAAAGCAGAAGCTGGACTTCTTCATTCGAACCAGTGACAGCTTTGACAAGTAAGATCAGACACTCCCCTTGGGTTGGTGTGTGAATTACAATTTAAACTTTTGATTAGTTGAGAGAAATGAGTTTATTAGTGTTCATATACCAGCAAACATGATTAAACTTTGGCAGGCGAATCAGGGGTATATGTATAGCTGTTCTAATTATTTTTTATTTGTTTAATTTTTTTTTCTTTTAACGTTTATTCAGTTTTAAGAGATAGAGACAGAGTGCGAGTGGGGGCAGGGCTAGAGACGGGGGGTGGGGGGACACAGAATCTGAAGCAGCTCCAGGCTCTGAGCTGTCAGCACAGAGCCCGACACGGTGCTTGAATTCACAGACCGTGAGATCGTGACCTGAGTCAAAGTCCGACGCTTAACCAACAGAGCCACTCAGGCGCCTCTGTTCTATTTTTTTTTTTAAATATTTTGTGGTTTTGAGGGCGTTAGGGTTTTTTGACTATAATACCAGGTAAGACTAATTTTTCACCAACACAATAAGAGAAGGAAATAGAATATTCATTTTGGTCAATTTTCATGTTTCTGACACAGACAACAGTTTTTCACCTCATTGTTTCTAAAACAGCATTGTTGCATTTGTCTTTAAGCTGTATATAGAATTACCTCTTGCCACTTTTAAATAAGGCATTAAAGTTCTTATTTTAGGGTTTGCTGTTGTTAGAAACACCAAATGTATTTTTCTTTCCTTTCACTTGTTTTTAGTAGATCTTGAATAAGGTAATGATTTATAAAACCAGAACAGAGACTGTGATGATTGGAGTTTGGATGATTTAAACTTGAATTGTGCTTATGCCATTCACTTTCATAATATTTTGTTTGGAATTTCTAGGGTCTTGTTAATTAATAGTATTCTTTTTGGAAGTCTGGCTTCTGGCTCTGTGAATTGCATTACATCACTATAGGATTGTTCAGTGAAACGCGGTTAGCATAGACGTACTCTGTAGACTTGCTATAATGTGATAAATTCAGTTACGGAAAACATTTTTTGCCTTTAGATTTGACTTCTGTGAACCTTCCTTTGTTATTGGCAATTGCTTGGAGATTTCTCCAGATTGTTCTCAGTACGATCGTGTGTACTGTGGGGCTGGTGTGCAGAAAGAGCATGAAGAATACATGAAGAGTCTTCTCAAAGTAGGGGGCATCCTTGTCATGCCGCTGGAGGAAAAGGTCAGATCCCTTTCATAACTGACGTGTTTATTGGCCAAGTTCTGTCCCGGGAAGTTTACATATATTTTCCCCTATATCCCTCACAACAATTCTGTCCATTTCAGAAATGAGGACCCAGGCAGGGACAGGGCATACAGACAGCCCAGCTGGGGCCAGGGCAGACCCGGGAAGGAACCCTGGAGCCTGCACTGCAAGCCCTAACCCTCACCTCCCTTCTGTCTCCTCCTGTTTGCTTTCCTCTCTCCTACCTCCAGAGCTATTCCAGGGTGCTTTTTCCGTTGTTAGGGTCGTTCGTGAAAGTCATTTCAGTAATTCTGACCGTTAGTCTGATTGTTAAATTCTGTGACAGTGAGTATTCTACAGGAGTCTCTTCCTTAGTGTAAATCTGGTCTAAGTCTGCTATTTGGTCATGTTTCTGTGTGTTGTAGATATTGTGCTCCATGGAGGAAAACAAATTGTAAGAAATGAGCAAGGTTAATCAAACTTGAGTTGAACCTAAGGAAGAATGTCTCAGTCACAAAGAACTAGGAAAACTTGAAATGATAAAAATTCGGAGATAGTGCATTTTTGTGTGATTTTCTCCGATTGTAAAATGTTAGCATTTTATTTTGCTTAAAATGTAATCATTCATTGTAGAAAATCCAGAAGATACGATAATTGAGAAAAACTGCTCACAGTCCCACCCTAAGTGCTGTTACTGCAGGATTCCTGTAGTTTGGACTCCTGTTTCAAGAATGTCATTGTACATGCAGTTTAGAACTTAAAATGTTTTACCTAATTGATGAAATAAATTTTAAGCCTTTTGACATTTCATATCATCACTTTGAGCCTGTGGGACTGTTGACCACACTGCACCCTCTTGGTCCTGGAATTGGACATGAGGCTGCGTGTATAACATGGTTATTTACTATCATATACAGACTGTAGTGAATGTCCCTAAGTAAAACAAAATTTTTATCCATGGATATTTCAGTGTGTATCTAGAAAACATAGGGGACCTGTTGTTGTTGTTTTTTATATATCGCAAAACCATTATCAACTGAAAAAATTAACAGTAATTTCTTAGTGTTTTCAAATGGTCAGCTGGTATTCAAATTTTCCTGATTGTCTCAAAATTTGTTTGAATAGTTTATTTGAATAGGGCTTCATTTGATTATGTCTTTTTTTTTTTAATTTTTGTCAGTTTTATTAAGGTACAATTCACATACAATAAAACTGAGCAATTTTAAGTGTATAATACATTGAGTTTTGACAGATGACTGCAGCATTGGTTTACAATACAAACGAGATATAGAACGTTTCTATTGCTGCTGCCAGGCCCCTCATGCCCTCCTTTTTTACTGAGATGCAACTGACAATAGTTTCAAGTGTGCAGCATAATAATTCAGTAAGACAGTTATGTTTTGATACTGTATACTTATAAAATATATTTGAATGTGGTCCAGATCAGAGCTTATCAGCTTTGGGCCACGTACAGAACATTGTGTTCTCCAGCCGAACAATTCAAACAACAAAGGTCTCAGGCCTGTGGTATCAGTAACTTTTGTCTGGAGACAAAAATCAAATTACAATACTGATGGAATTTATGAGAAACATTTGATTTGTGTCTTGCATTTGGTTGATATCTTTCTCTTTTTTTAAAAGATTTTAGTTTTAAGTAATCTTTGCACCCAACGTGGGGCTTGAACTCACAGCCCCTGAGATCAAGAGTTGCATCCTCCATCACTTGATCCAGCCAGGCACCCTTGGTTGATAAATGTCTAAAGTGTTGTTGCTTTTTTCCTTTTTTTTTTTAAGTTTTTTTTTTTTTTTTTAATGTTTTATGTATTTCTGAGAGAGAGAGAGAGACAGCATGAGCAGGGAAGGGTCAGAGAGAGGAGTAGATACAGAATCTGAAACAGGCTCCAGGCTCTGAGCTAACCATCAGCACAGAGTCCGATGCAGGGCTTGAACCCACGAACCATGAGATCATGACCTGAGCCGAAGTTGGATGCTCAACCAACTGAGCCACCCAGACGCCCCTAAAGTGTTGTTTTCTATAACTTTTTTTTTTTTTTAACATTATCTTTGCATTTGTCTTGTACAGTTTCCTATAGCCTGGATTCGGAGATTACATATCTCTGTGGTGGTATCTTACATATTTCTTCTGTTCTGTTTTCCCTATAAATTGCTAATTGGATCCAGAGACTTGCTTAGTTTTCCAGTTTGACTTAACTTTTGGCGGGGAGAGAGGGTGCAAGAATACTTAAACAGGTAGTAGAGGGGATATCTATATACATGCACTTCATACCTGTTGTCTCTTTCTGATGCTAGCACTGCGAATGTAGTCCTGATCCATTATTTCAATAAGGGATACAGGATGATACATTCTGCTTCCATCATTTCTCTTCATTTAGTAACTTGAATACTTTTTTTTTAAATTGTTTAATGTTTAATTTTGAGAGAGAGAGAGCACGCACGCATGCATGAGCAAGAGCGGGGGAGGGGCAGAGAGAGGGGGACATAGAATCCAAAGCAGGCTCCAGGCTCTGAGCTCTCAGCACAGAGCCTGATGTGGGACTTGAGCCCATGAACTGTGAGATCATGACCTGAGCTGAAGTTGGACACCCAACCGAATGAGCCACCCAAGCGCCCCCACTTTTTTCTTTTTAATTTTAATTCTAATATAGTTAACATAGCAGTGTTATATTAGTTTCAGATGTACGATATAGTGATTCAGTGGTACCATACATTACCCAGTGCACATTGAGATAAGTGTGCTCTTCATCCCTTTCACGGGTTTCCTCCATCCCCCACCCACTTCCCCTCTGGAAACCATCAGTTTTGTGTCCTCCCTCCCCCTTCCTCGTTCATTTATTTCGTTTCTTAAATTCCACATATGAGTAAAATCATATGGTATTTGTCTTTGTCTGACTGGCTTATGTCGCTTAGCATTATACTCTGTAGTTCTGACATCCATGATGTTGCAAATGGCCAGATTTCATTCTTTATGGTTGAGTAATGTTCCATTGTATATACGTATATACTACATTTTCTTTATCCATTTATCAGTTGATGGGCAACTGGGCTGCTTCCATATCTTGGCCATTGTAAATAATGCTGCTATCAACATAGGGGTGCATGTATCCTTCTGAGTTAGTATTTTTGTATTCTTTGGGTAAATACCTAGTAGTGCAATTGCTGGATTGTAGTTCTATTTTTAACTTTTTGAGGGAACTCCATACTCTCCTCCAGAGTGGCTGCACCAGTCTACATTTCCACCAACAGTGCACAAGGGTTCTTTTTCTCCACATGCTTGCCAACACTTGTTGTTTCTTGTGTTTTTATTTTAGCCATTCTGACAGGTGTGAGGTGGTATCATTGAGGTTTTGTTTTGTATTTCCCTGATGGTGAGTGCTGTTTAGCGTCTTTTCATGTGTGTGTTGGCCATCTGTATATCTTGTTTGGAAAAATGTCTTTTAATGTCTTTTGCCCATTTTTAAATGGGATCATTTTCTTTTTAGGTATTGCACTGTATAACTTCTTTATATAATTTAGATGCTTATCCTTTATAGGGTATGTCATTTGCAGATACTATCTTCTCCCATTCAGTAGGTTGTCTTTTAGTTTTGTTGGTTGTTTCCTTCATTGTGCAGAAGCTTTTTACTTTGATGTAGTGCCAACAGTTTATTTTTGCTTTTGTTTCCCTTGTCTCAGAAGATGTTATCTAGAAAAATGTTGCTGTGGCTGATGTCAGAGACATTACTGCCCATGCTCTCTTCTGGGAATTTTAAGGATTTCAGATCTCACATTTAACCCTTAATCCATTCTGTGTCCTCACGTCACCTTCAGTTACTCTCATCAGTGTTTTATAGTTTTCAGAGTACAGGCCTTTCACCACCTTAGTTAAGTTTATTCCTAGATATTTCATTATTTTTTGGTGCAGTTATAAATGAGATCATTTTCTTAATTTCTCTTTCTGCTTCATCATTATTAGGGTTTAGAAATGCAGTGAATTTCTGTACATTTTATCCTGCAACTTCATAGTTCCTGGACTACTTAAAGAGAAGCGCCTTCATCAGTTATTTGGTTACCCTGGGTCAACTTTAGACGGAGAGGCTGGATCAATCCTGATTCCTAACCTTTATTAGTTTCCTCAAGAGTCTGGTTCTCTACCATCTGCCGAAGGTGGTGACTAATAAGATTTTGTTTGATTTTTAGTGTCAGTGTGAATTAATGGTTATAAACATACTTAATATTTTAATCATTGTACCATTCTTATTAAAGCTTAAAATGTCCCGTCTTTGCCCGTGGGGACCTCTCCAGCTTGGCTCTTGGGCTTTGATACAGTTTTGAGTAGTCTGTGATAGTTTTGTTACTTTCTGGTAAGAAAAGATGTTTCACTCTCATTTTGTATACACACATTTTTTTTTTTTACCACAAAGTTGGGAGGTAGCCATTTCTGAGGATCTCTGTTAATTTTAAGTTCAGTGGGAATTGGTGTTTCGAGAACACAGGTGGGGCCTTTGTGGGAATCTTTGATGCTGGGTTAGTTTTTCAGTAGAACTCTAGAGCTAGGAAGTTCACACACACACACACACACACACACACACACACACTATCTTATGTTTTTGTTGTTTTGGTTTTTTTGGACGTAAAATACACCATGGGCTTATATTGATACTTCCAGCTCAAAGTCAGGACGAGAGGATTTTTCTGACTTCTCTCACGCTTGAAAGTTGCAGATCCTGACTACCCAGCTTACTGTTTATCCACAGTACATAGTAGCACCACTGGCACCAACAATTTGATTTCTGAAACTAGGTCAAATTTGACCTATTTGGCTGAGGGGTTGGAGGGGGAGCTTTTTTGGCCTTTATATTCCACTAGGGATGTAGAGATCAACATGTTTTAAAGTCCCTGGAAACAATGCTTTCCTGTGAGGTTATAACATCAGTATGACTCATAGCTCATTTGTTTTCAGTTTTTAGGGATTGCTGTTTTAGGTTTTGTAACTTGGTAAAATATTTACAACATTCCAAAGTTTAAATAATGAGTACTCACAGACTTTTTCCTCCCTGTATGTTCCCTCCACTTCACCTGTGGGTAACCATTTTGTTTGTTTTTAGTTTATGTGTTTATTCAAAAAGTATATAAGCAAACACATTTTTTCATACATGAAGATATGCATACCTTTTTCCATTCCATGTACCTATGCAGACCTATGAAATGGGAATTGATAGTTCTAAGTTTTATACATCATTGTTCATTTTAGGTATTTGATGTCAGTATAAGTGGAACTTCTTTTTTGTCCTTATTTTGTTTATTTAAAAGTGTTTTTTTGTTGGTATATGAGAATGTGGTTTTTTGATGGCCAGTTGGGTCCTTTATAAACAGCTTCTTGCTGTTTATAAGCAGTGCTGCTGTGACAAGGGTGTGTGTGTCCATGTTTGTGGATATTCTTAGTCTTTGTCTTTGTCTATACCCATGACCTCTTCCAGGTGCAGTCTCAGAAGCAGGAGTGCTTGATTGGAGACTCTGTGTTTTAACTTTGGCCAACTGCCTTTCCAGAGGCTTTGCTGTCAGCATGGGAGAGGAGCCATCCACGCCCTTGCTGACAGTCCCATCTGCTTATTGCTGTCATTGCTAGTAGATTGTTGTGTATGACAGGGCTAGATGTCCCCATTTTTGCTCTTTCTCAGAGTACTGTTTTAAGTACATCTTTACTTAAATTATTTTAGAAATGTTTGTTGCATGACAAAAATACTTTGGACTTACTATTGGAATTGTGTTACATGTTGAATAATTTGAGAATTATAGACATATTTTCAGTATCTGTCTGTGGAATGTAGGATATGGATTTACAGTTTTCCTGAAGGATTCACACATTGTTGATGGATTATATTTAAATATTTGGTGTTTAATATAACTAGAATTTCTCCTTGAAAAAAAGTTTTTGAAAAAGAAGTTTTTGCGGGTGTACGGGAATGTGAGTGACTTGTTTACTTAGTACATGGCTACTAATGCTTTCAGCTCTAAGATTCATGACATAGAGTCTTAGATTTCAGAGGATTTGCTGGCTTAGATATTTTTAAACAAGAGAGCATATAATCTTAGCATGTCCAAGCTGAGCAGAAATAGTACTGTTACCTGTTTGGGCCGTTCAGAAACTGGCACCATCACATAGAACACACAGGAGGGCCACGTTGTCTAACTAGGCCCTTCTGGTGCTTCGAATACTGTGATTCTCTGCAAATTGTGTGTTTTGGTGGTGACATCACATAGAAATTCACATAAACACTGTAGTGAGGAGAAGCTCCAACATATCCAAGATGTTACCATCACTTTCAAGCAAGTTACTGCAAAACTGTTAACAGTAGCTCTTATTTTGTGTGTGGTTATGTTGTTACAAGAAAGTCTTTTTATTGTTTATGTTCCAGAAACAACAGCCTGGGATCCAGTCTAGACAGAAGCATTATAGGTGGTCCTGAGTGTCTTTAATGACTTTGATTTGAGAATGTACCCCGCCCCCCCAACTTTTATCGCCATCAGGGACTCTTGTGGACGGCCCTGGGAAGTCATCTCATCTGATTGTCTCTTCTTGTTATCCTTTGACTTCTTTTCTCTAACATATGTATTTTTTGTAAACAGAAATTAGGTCTGGAAGCTTTGAATATATTCAGGCTAAACATATTTGCAACAATATTAATAAGTTGTGTGTAGTTCATGCGACATCACATTAGGGGCCCCTGTTTTAGGTTATTTCATTGTTAGCGTATCTGTGTTTTTTTAGTTTACGTGTAGGAATGATTAAATATAAATTAACAGTACCCAAATCTTTTGAATATTCTCGTTCTCTCTTTGGGATAGTTGACTAAGATAACACGAACTGGTCCTTCTGCTTGGGAAACCAAAAAGATTCTGGCTGTTTCTTTTGCTCCTCTGATCCAGCCCTGTCATTCAGAGTCAGGAAAATCAAGACTTGTCCAGTTACGTAAGTACAAAGATCTTCACTTATCTTTTAGATCTTTAAAAAAAAATCTCATTAGAATTTGGAGAGAAAGAAAAATTTTAAGGAACCTTTTAACATTAAAGAGGATTCTGAAATCTTACAGTTTTACAAATGATTTTCTAGTACTGTAAAAATCATAATCTGTTTTCAGCCTATTTTAGGTTATTTTGGCCCTCTTTTAAATCCATAGGAATTATTGCTGGTTGAAATCATGCCATTGAAAGCAGAAGGCTCCTACAAAAGGGGGTTAGTTCTGCTGTGTGGAACGGTCTTACAGAGAGAGTGTGTTCCCAGCACCAGCCGAGCCAGAGGGCTCTTAGAGTCGTGGGACCCTTTCTTCCTCAGGGCGACCTCGTGGTGCCTGTTTCAGCCACTTGGCCGGTGTGTGGTGGGAGGCTTCCCACAGAGCATTAACTTGGGTAGGCCTGGATGTAGATCCAGAAAGAGCTAACATTAGGGCCAGCATTCATGCAAATACTATTTTCTAATTTAAACACATTTAAACAGCAATGAGAAGTGCAAATGACTTTATTTAAAATAAAACTATTCAGCGTGGATTCTACTGTCTGATCATTTAGAAAATTTGGAAAATGTACCAAAAAAGGGAAAATAGTTACCATAATCTTACCACCCAAAGATAATACATTTGGCAGATTCCTTCCAGAATTTTTTTTTTTTAATTTGTTGGGATTCACTTATCAAATAGTAATGTTCCGCCTTGGTCTCTGGTAAGTGGAGGTCACATACCATAGATATGGTCCTTGAAATGTAATGAACAACAATATAATATAGAAAGGGCTTGAGAGGGGAGGGTTTGACAGAAGATGGGACATTTGTGCTTGGTCTTTCTGGGTGAAAATGAATTCTTGAAAGCTAGAAGAAAGGGAGACAAAGCTGGGGCAGAGGCTGATGGGGACTTTTCACACGCCCACTCCCTGGTATGGTCTGAGTGGGGGTGTACAGGAGACACTAGCCCAGTACATAGGTTAGACTTGAGTTTATCATGTAGGCTGTGGAAAGCCACCAGATAGTAGAATTAAAAGATGTGGCACATCTGTCATCTTGATTACCCTTGTAATCAAGGGTAGTGAGGGTGAATTTGTCACATGCAGGGTCCCTGAAAATCCCACCAGAATGAGCTAACATTGCTCGCAGTCAGCCAGAGCAGTCCCTTCCAGAATGCTACCTGAGTAGCACCAGATGTGAGGACATAGTTGGAGTATCTATGGGGCTTTTTGGAGGTTTGGTTGTAGACAAGTCTCTTGGTGTGAGGGCTTTATCTGATCTGGATAAGAGTTGTGACGACATGGGGGTACCTGGGTGGCTCAGTCGGTTAAATGTCTGGACTTTGGCTCAGGTCATTGATCTCATGGTTTGTGAGTTTGAGCCTCACATTAGGCTCTGTGCTGACAGCTCAGAGCCTGGTGCCTGCTTCAGATTCTGTGTCTCCCTCTCTATGCCCCTCCCCTGCTCATATCTGTCTCTCTCTCTCTCTCTCTCAAAAATAAATAATAAACACTAAAAAATTAAAAAAAACAACAAGTTGTGACGACACAGAGGGCACCCTGAGATGCTGGTTTTGAGGCTACAGCTTCAGAGCGAATGCTGGATGACAAATAATCATGTGATGTTGTTTAGGGTTCCTGAAGTGAACATTCCAGTTGTTTGTAACTGTATCTTCCTGGGTGCAGTTTTCTTTTTTTTCTTTTTTTTAAATATTTTTATTTCTAGGAGAGAGAGAGACAGCGTGAGCAGGGGAGGGTCAGAGAGAGAGGGAGTCACAGACTCTGAAACAGGCTCCAGGCTCTGAGCTGGCAGTCAGCACAGAGCCCGACGCGGGGCTCGAACCCACGAACCGCGAGATCATGACCTAAGCGAAAGTCGGACGCTTAACCGACTAAGCCACGCAGGCGCCCCACTGGGTGCAGTTTTCTAAACTCGTAGTTGTGTCGATGGAGACAGTGGCTTCTATAGTGGAGTGGATTCAAGGCCAGCACATAGGGCTTTCTGAGGAAGGATGTGGAGCCCAAGGTGTCCAGCATCTGTTGTAGATGTGGGTCTGTGGGAGGCTCAGGACCCCCATCAGGACTGGAGCAGAGCCGTAGGAGCCGTTGCCTAGTCTTTATTACTTGAAGCCACAGAATGGATGCCAAAACAGGGATCGATAGGCACACAGAGAGGGGAAAGTGGTAGAAATCAGCACCTGAGGGAACACTGCTAGCTTGGGTAGAGGAGGGAGCCAGCAGGAGAGACTTGGTCCTAGTTAGTTCCCTTCAAGCGGGCACCTCGGGGAGAGCCAGAGAAGCCGAAGCTTGTGTTCTGGAGGTCTGGTGACCCATGAAGGTGTCCGTTCAGCAGACTGAGTGGTAACAGCAAGTGAAGATGTAAGGGAAGGAAAGGCGGGGCATTCTGAGCAGAAAGTCATGATTGCAGTGTTGCATAGTGGGGCAAATGCTGGAGCCTGTCCCAGACGAGGGAGGAGACAGTTGAGCAGGAGAGGAGGCCTGGTGTGGACGAAGGGGAGAAGGTGCTGAGAGCCTGTGGCAGGGGCACTTTCCAGGGCTCCTATGGAACAGTGAGCCTTGCACGGGATTGTGCATAGGCCTCTCTGATTTCAGTTATAAATGTTACAGACAGCCTAAGAGCCCTCCCTAGATTGTAGTTGGTCATCTCTTTTGGAAGAAGCTAGGTACAGGAGGGAAAGAAGTGATACTGTATACAGTATAATGATACAGTATAATGTGTTTAAACACACAACCCCTAATTCCTCTTCCTTTGAGGAAAAGCTCTTCCGTTGCCATATGTCTACTGCCTGCATTAAATTGAGCCATAATTAAATCACCAGATTCTATTTTTCCTCAGTATGCTTTGGAGTTTTAGTACTTATTAAAAATGGTTGGATTAGCTTTTCTCTACTTTAATAAAAACAAAAAGGAACAAATACTCAATTTGTAAAGTGCTGTGAAAATATTAAGATAGATGAAAGAATTCTGGAGTCCTACATTTTCTGTATTTCCACTGGATGATATAGAACCCATGAATGAATACAGTAAATAGAATAGTGAACCTAGCTGTTCAAGAAGCAAAACACTATAACCCAGGGTATTCCCTTGCTTCTGACTGATTAGCCAAACGATCTCGATCTTACTTGTATAGTTCAGGGTCGATGTATTTGAAAATACCTTTTGAGAAGGACCACATGCATGCACATTAGAGCACTAACTACTTGACTTTGCCAGAAATGCTCTCTTGTGCCTGTTCTGTGAATGCGCCACTGAATGACAGCGACATGAAGACTTTCCAGGGTTGGGGCTCTGTGCTGTCTGGGTCGCTCACAGACAAGGTTGACGTGTCTCCTCATTTGCTCTGCAGCGCCACTGGCTGTGCGAAGCCTCCAGGACTTGGCTCGCATTGCCATCCGGGGTACCATTAAAAAGGTGATTCGTCAGGAGACGGTGAGCAGCAGTGGAAATGGACTAAAGAACACTCCTGGGGTTAAACGAAGGAGAGTCCGCCGCCGTCGAATGGAAACAATTGTCTTTTTGGACAAAGAGGTTTTTGCCAGTCGGATTTCCAGCCCGTCTGATGACAATAGCTGCGAAGACTTGGAAGAGGAGCCGCGGGAGGAGGACAGAGCCCCACCGCCCGAAGCCAAGCCAGCCCCGCCGGTGAACTTTCTACGGGAGAAGGTCCTGAGCCTCCCTCTGCCAGATCCCCTGAAATACTACTTGCTGTATTACAGGGAGAAGTAAGTCTGTGGGAACAGGGGACCGAGGCAGAGCTGATGCTGCGCCTGTCGTCCCTGAGGGGTCGCCCGGGCACATGCTGTGGGCAAGGAAAGCGCTCTCCTCTCGACCTTCCTGTGTTTAGTTCGTTCTTGGTTTTCCTGTAGAATCTCCATTCAGTGGTATTGTTTCAGTAAACGTAATCTGACAAACATAAAGTTCATAGGAGAAGGTTTCCTCAAAAGGGAGAGCATCTCCTGGAGAAGAGTATTTGCTTTTTGCTTTGATGAAGCTCTGACGTCTGCCTGCAGAGACTGCTTTGGTGATCGTCTCCCACTCAAGATAACACACGAAGACTGAAGTTGAAAGTAACCTGTGTTGCTTAGAAAAAGTGAAAGGAAGTGCAAGTTTGCAAGTGTGTAAAAGCTTTTCTGGGTGTGCCACACCTGTGTCTAGGTTAGCACTTTATGGTGTCAACCTCTTAATTACTGGCGCTGAACTCCACTAACCCTTTTAGTTCTCTAAAGGGGGGTGGGGTGGGAAACGTTATTGGAAAGCTCTCCCTTGTTTTAAATAAATGTAATTAAATTTTATGTGCATTGTCAGTAGTAATTTTAAAAGAGGGAAATTGTGATAGGGGAGGAATAAAAGTATCAAATTGCCAGATGGAATTCCAAAAGAATTCAAGGAATATTTTCCTGACACCTTTTCTTACCTTTAGAAGAACCAATGTCAGATAATCCCTTAAGGAAAATACTCAAGAATGAAACAAGTGTTGTGTGCAGTGAGCTACCTTACTTTTACCCCGGGGATGGGGATGACTGTTGACCCAACCTTGAGTATGTTAATGGGTGTCTAAGGCATGGATCGTCTAGTCCTTAAAACAGGTGGGAAGTATTAAAACTGCAGGAAATACATCAGAGACAATGTTACAACAGCCTGTGCTGTTTTTTTTTTTCTTCAGTTGACTATTTTTCTGTAATCACATTATAGCACTGATTAATAGATTTTATCTTTTATAATTCTGGAGAAGATGTGTTAGTTTTCTAATTTTTCTCAATAACAAAAACATGTATTTTAGTAGCTCCATTGCATTAGAATAACAGGTCAACCTGCAGTGGTTTGTGGAATCTACCTTCTCTAGGCCCTTTGTGTTGACCGCTTTCTGTGTTCACCAAGTTCCAAAACATTGGTTCTTTTCAAACTTGCTTTTTGTACCCAAAGAAGGAAACAGTGGTATAAAATGTTAACAATAAACCCAAACTTAGAGTGCTGATGTGGGATCGACCATCCAGATTTTATGACTCATTTTGTCCGTTGGACTCTTGGGTGTTGCCGAGCTTGAATATGTCTTTGTGGTTTCACCAGCTGAACTGAGTTCTGGTTGGTTATCTATCTATCTATTTATTTATTTATTTTTAAACTTTTCTTCTTTTATAGGTAACTTAATCATTTTCACAGGATACTATGTGCATGCAGAGCTGGGAAAATATGTCTTTTGCCCTAGATTTGGAAATGTAACTTTTTGTAAAGACAGTTACTTCATAGTTGTTTTCAACCTGACTTTTAACTGAAGGTCAGGCATCGCTGTCTCAGAGAGAAGCTTACAGTTTGTGTTTAGTTGAGACCTTGAGATCACTTGGTGGTGTGCACATCCTTGCCGATGTCACGCTGGCCGGCATGTAGCGACCTCTGCAGCACACGGACATTTGGAGCATAATGTTAAATGTGTATTTGTGAAATCTTTACACTAGGTGGCTTGACTAAGTTCTTTCCCTATAATTGTATGTGGGTTTTATTTATTTTTTAAGTCACATTTGCCTTTATGCTAGACTGTAAAACCTCTTCACCATGCATAAGACATGTTTTTCCCTATATAGGTTAGACCTTTGCTGACATTTGTGTTCGTATTTACATGTTGTCTGTGGTACCTAAACCAGAGTTTGGTTAAAAATATATATAGATGTAATATATGTGAAATAGTTTGGTGTTTATCTTATACACGTAGAGAAGAATTGTAAATGGGTTTTCCGGGCTGAAGTGCCCCTCCCCAGAGTCCAGTCTGATGCACTACTGTCTGTTCCCTGACAGATGGATTATGTATAGTCTGTGTGGTCTGTAACCTCTGTATTGTAAACCACTTTTTAGACAACCATGGACTCTTATGTTTTTAGGAGTATGTATTTCTGTATATGATTTATGTCTTGAAAGTAGTAAAGCCACAGACATGTACACAGCGAATATCAAATTTATAAATATCAAGTGTGCAATGTAAAAATCAACTGTGTATGTAAGAATGATTTTGCCAGTCTGGACGTTGCAGGGAATTAATTTCAGAAATTTGAAACCAAGATTTTAATGAGCAGATATACATTGGATAAATATAAAGACTGTCAATAAACCTGGTTGAAGCACTTCAGCCTTCTCGGCATGGCTTGTGTTTCCTGTGTGGGGTTGAAATTCTTGACTACATATTTTCCAAAAATCTTTAAATCCTTATTAGAGTCATGTATTTTCTTTCACTGTTCGTGTTATGGCCTCATTCTGTGCCATGCTAGTACACTTAGGGAAGACATGATTTTAAATTAAACACACTCAGTTTGGGTGGCAAAACAGAAAAGCTGTAGCTCTGACTCCAGGAGAGAATATGTGTCCGAAGGGTGTTTGTGGTTAGTTTTTTGGCACAATTTTCCTATTTTGTGAAAATGTTAAACAAAAGATAATTGGGTTAATGGTAACTTCTTCTATGGCAGCAAGGGGTGAGGGTTAGGGTGATGGTGAGAATTTTGGGTTTAGAGTTCAGGTTTGGGGTTGGGGTGCGAGGGCCATGCGCTAGGGTTGGGGCCTAGGGTCAGGGTCAGAGATCAGAAGTAAGGGCCCAGGGTTCAGGGACAAGGTTAGAGTTAGTATTCAGGATCAGACTGGCTGCTATCCATCAGAACTGCTGAAACAGAACAGAATTTTTGTATTTTTGGTGGCTTATAACCAGTAGCAATGTATTTCTTAAAGTTGTTGAGGCTGGAAGTCTGAGATGAGGATACCAGCATGGTCAGGCAAGGGCCCTGTTTGTAGTTGCACACTTCTATTTTGGCATGTAGGGGATGAGTTAGGGTCTCTTATAGAGAGAATAATCCCATTGATGAGGACTCCACCCTCATCACCTAATCACATCCCAAAGGCATCCTAACATCACATCAGGTATTAGGATTCCAACAGATGAATTTGGGGAGAGACAAACATTCAGATCATAGCACTGATGTAGGAAATGGATGGAAGAACTTTTTTTTTTTTTTGACCTTTACTTTAAAAAAAAAAAAAATTTTCCCAATCAAGGTACCGGAATGATGGGCTCTGTTAAGTTGGAATTTCCAAATCATGGCACTTAATAATCAGAACACTGAATTTAAGAGATTAACTGGACATGCCTTGGTGGGCTAAACTGTGAGTCAGGTGTTCCCTGTGCTGCAGCCCAGCGGACAGCAGGGTGCAGCCTAGCCTGGCTCTCTGACCTGAGGGAGAGCATGCGTATCCTGGCCTCAGAGTCAGACCCACATCTCGATGAGGCCGATGGGCTCCAGGGTGCCCCTACAGCCTTGGGACAATTTGGGGGCAGTGAGGACAAAGCTAGGAGATGATTTCTGTTGGCATCTCCAATTAACTTTAAATTAAAAATAATTTTTTTTAATGTTTATTTTTGAGAGAGAGATTGACAGAATGTGAGCAAGGGAGAGGCAGCGAGAGCAGGAGACACAGAATCTGAAGCAGGGTCCAGGCTCTGAGCTGTCAGCACAGAGGCTGACTCAGGACTCACACTCACAAACTTAGATCATGACCAGGGCCAAACTCGGACGCTCAACCAACTGAGCCACCCAGGTGCCCCAGTTTAATTTTTTTTAATGTTTATTTATTTTTGAGACAGAGTAGACTGTGAGCCAGGGAGGGGCAGAGAGAAAGGGAGACACAGAATCTGAAGAAGGCTCCAGGCTCTGAGCTGTCAGCAAAGAGCCCGATGCTGGGCTCAAGTCCATGAACCTCGAGATTCTGACCTGAGCCAAAATCGGATGCTTAACTGAGTCGCCCAGGTGCCCCTACAATGAACTTTAGTTTAGAACAACCCTCCCAAATGTTTTCCTAAAATCTAATAAAAACTGACCTTTATGTCTCTTCAAATGTCCCTATGGTTTGCCATAGCTCACCTGTCCCAAACAGTAGTTCTGCTATTTCCAAATAAACTCATTTTACTGCTAACATAACTGATATTTTACTTTTATGTTGATAGTTTTTATTAAAAATTTTTAAATGTTTATTTGTGTGTGTGTTTGTGTGTGTGAGAGAGAGAGTGTGTGAGCCTGGGAGGGGCAGAGAGAGAGGGAGAGAGAGAGAGAGAGAGAGAGAGAGAGAGAGAGAGAGAGAGAGAGAGTATCTAAAGCAGGCTCCAGGCTCCGAGCTGTCAGCACAGAGCCCGATGCAGGGCTCGAACCCACAAACTATGAGATCATGACCTGAGCTGAAGTTGGACACTTAACCGACTGAGCCACCCATGCACCCGTATGTTGATAGTTTTTATGTGGAACTATCTGTATCCATATTAAGGTAAAGATGAGTTTATACTAGTGTCTCTGAGTCATCATGTGGAATATTGTGATCTCCCTCCGCTCATCTGTAACTTCCCACCGCAAGAGTGATGAACTGGGGCTCCTACTCTTTGTCATCTATGTAATTCATTGTTCTGGTTTGTATTACAGATATGATTGTTTCAGCATCATTAGCTACTACTATCATCGGGAGGAATTTTATAGACTCCACTGTTTATGTGCTTTCAGTACATTTTGTTCATTTCCAAAGCTGCTTAGGTCAGCATCTTCTGCTCCAGCACTTACAGTGAGTTGTTTCATACATTTCTAGTACAGTTAGATTACTTATCATATTCTGTATTCTATCCTGTGACAATCCTACATCCTAAATAATCCAATTTGAATAATTATGATTAGCCTTTGGGCTATAAAAATATATGAGTTTTGCCAAATGTGTAGTGGCAGGTTATCTATCACTAAAATGTCATATGGAATACCTCGAACTCTAACCCCATGATCTGTTTATCATCTCTGTAGCTTTGCCTTTTCCAGAATGTCCTATAAATGGGGCCATACAGTACGGAGCCTCGTCAGACTGGATTCTTTCACTTTGCAAAGTACGTGTAAGATTCATCCATGTCTTTGTAGGGGGTGATGGATCATTCCTTTCTACTGCTGAGTAGAATTGCATTGCATGTACAGGTGACTAAAAATAATTTTTCTTTACTTTTCTAGGCTCTTGGCTGAGACTACTTCTTGCAATAAAAGGTTAACAGGAGGAAAACAGAAGTATAGTTACATGTATATATCCTGTATACATGAGACATCCAAAATGGCCAAAGTGATCACTTGAAATGTTATGGGTGGTCAGAAGCCCAGTTCAGGGAGGCAATCAGACCAAACAGAGTATATGAGGATAAGGTTGTTATTCAGGTTTAAGTCCAGAGACACTGTTACAAATGAAGGGTTCTTTTGTAAATGTAAATTTTGCTCACTAAAGGATAACTTTTACTCGGTTTTCAGGAATTGTCCTCTGTCTTCTGTTTATTAAAATCGGTCAGCCCCAAATAATCCTTGTGCCCAGGAGACTTATCTTGTGGGTGGCATATTCTGCTTCCTTCACATGGATACACCTGTTTGCTTATGGATTCATGTTTTGAAGGACATCCTGATTTCTTGAAGTCTTTTGCCATTATGAGAAGAGCTGCATGCATAGCTGCATGTGAGTTTTTGTTTGGAAATCGTTTTTCAAAGCAGTTGTCTGAGTACCTGAAGTGTGATGATGGTTGATTCATAAGGTGAGACTTGTTTAGCTTTGGAAAAAAATGCCAAACTATTTTCTGTTAACCCTAAAAATGAAACTGCCAATTATTTTATCAACAAAAATAGGTTTATTTGGGAGTAGTTGAGAATTTCAATCCAGGACAAGAAAGCTTAGGCAAAGCCATAAGCAAGTACACTGAGCAAAGCAGAGGAGCATTAGTCTTTTACAGAGGAAAGTGAGGAAGTTGGAAGGCACTGTCCTAAACAGAAAGTCTACTAGAGTAAACTGGGGGCTGGATGTGTAGTGGCTTCTCATTGGCTGACCTGTGACAGTGTGTCATTGGCTGAACTGTTGCCTGGGGAGGAGGAAACCCTTCTTCCTCCTGCTAGAATAGTAAAATGGTCCCTACTGGGCAAGGTCTATCTCTTCCTCTTGGGTCTGCAATTAATGTAGAGTGGTAGGTGTGAGAGTCTCCCCTGCTGAGCCTTCCCAGACTTCATTTTAGTGAGGTTTCCCATTATTAATTTTCACATCCAAAGTGGCTGTACATGCATTCCCCCAATGAAGGAGAGTTCCTCTCATTCTGCACCCTCCAACAATTGGCATTATTATTATTATTATTATTATTATTATTTTGGAGTTTAGCAGTTTTAATCGTGTGTAGCAATTTGGAATTTCCTAATGATAGATGATGTAGAGCATATTTTTGTATGCTTATTTACTATCTGTATATTTTCTCTGGCTGGGTGTCTGTCCAGATCTTTACCCATTTTCATTAAGGTTCTGTTTTTTGATTGTTGACTTCTGAGAGTTATCTGGGAGTTCTTAGTTTATTTTGAATACAAATCTATTATCAAATGTGTGTTTTGCAGAATTTCTCACAGTTTGTAGGCTTGCCTTTTGGGACTCTGAGAAAGGTCTTTGATGGAGTAGACGTTTTAATTTTATAAAGTTCACCGTACCGGTTTTTTTCTTTTGTGGATTGATTTTGGTGTCTTAAAACCCAAGGTCATGTAGATTTTATGTTTTCTTTTTGATATTTTGATAGTTTTGCACTTTTTAAAAAAATATTTATTTCTGAGAGTGTGCAAGAAGGGGAAGGTCAGAGAGAGAGGGACAGAAGCCATGAAATGGGCTTTGTGCTAACAGGCTGACTGCAGTGAGCCCCATGTGGGTCTCGAACTTATGAACTGCCAGATCATGACCTGAGCCAAAGTTGGACACTCAAACGACTGAGCCACCCAGGTGCCCTGATAGTTTTGCACTTTAAATGGATCTGCAATTTTGAGTGAATTCTGGTGTAAGTGACAAAGCTTGTGTTTATATTTCATTTCACTTCATCTCACCTCACCTTGTTTTGCTTCATTTCATTTCATTTCATTTCATTTCATTTCATTTATTTAATTTCATAGTGTTTCCAACTAATTGTTCCTTAAGTATTTTGGAGAAGTTGGGGGATAGTGGGCTCTGTTTCAGTTTGAATTTCCAAAAGTTAATGGATTCAGCAGGACTAGAGGTAGCCTAGTGAATCCTACACTGCCTTCACTGCCTGCAGGGGCACCAGAGCTTGGCTCCCTGACCTGAGCGGCTCATGTGCCACCAGCTGGCCTCTTTTCCACCTGCACAGACTGGTGTTCCTCCTCCTCAGGACCTGC